AAAGGGGGAGTAGTTAATCTTTCATTTCAGCAATAGATGATCCTAGGACCATCGAGAAGGAAGAGCATGAGTGGAACGTGAGATCCTACCTAGAAAAGCAGCGACAGAGCACCTGTGGGCTCTAGGCCGTGGGCTGTGTAATGCTGTGTGCCTGCGGGCAGGAGGCTGGCTTACTGAATATGCCTTTTGGACATTCAACTGAATATGTTTCTTGTTCCATTTTGTTTTATCTGTGTGCATTAAATATTTTTTCTTTTTCCATTTGTAAAATATAAGATCTAAGTGGGGTAGAGGTCTAAAGCTGAGAGTGAAGCATCCAACTGATAATGAAGTGAGGGGAGACGCACAAGAATGTACAAACTTAAGATTGTACCCATCTGACCTAGCCTCAATGGCTTAATAATCAGAACTTGACTAGAGGAAGATTAAAAAAAACAATATTTGATAAAGGAAACAAGTGTAAATTGCTACGATTTGATGAATTTGAACTATGCTCATGGACGTAGTAGCTCAAAATACCAACTGAGAGGGAAGGAGTCTTCACATCAAGTATCAATCCTAGGCCCTCTATATACAGGGTAAATAGGGACAGGCAACTTAAACATTGACTACCTAAAATGAGGGAGCTATAAAGGCACAAAGAGACTGGCTTACACGTTTTCAAGAGGGAGTTTAGTTTAAGAGTGTGCGGGGGAAGATAGAGTACCAACTGAATAGTTTTTATCTTGTGCAAATGGGTCTGGTAAAAAGAGATGGGAATAAGATTCTTAGGATTCAATAGTGAGTAAATGTTATCATGACTAATGCGATTGTAAAGGTACAAGCTCTATAACAAAAATGGGGGAGTAGTTAATCTTGCAGTCCAGAAAAGAGAACCCTAGGACCATCAAGGGAGAAGAGCACAAGCAGAATGTGGGACATTATCCAGAGAAGCAGCAACACCAGAGATGGAGGTAAAGATGAGGACATGGAGAAAGGGAGCAGCTGAGGACTCTGAACTCATGGAAAGAGAGGGACTGAGTGTTGATGACCAGGATGCAGGCTTGCAGAATGTGCCCTTTGGTTGTTTAAATTATATATATTCCTGAGTGTTTTTGTGTACATCCTGCCCCCAACAAAAAAAGATGTAAGTGGGGAACCACATGGAAGGAAGTAGGATAACTGTTGTTGCAGCGAGAGGATTGTAATCACTGAGCTAAAACAAAGTGTATAATTTGTTGAATGTAAAGCTGATGATCTTGTCAATAAACCTTCACTCAAATCTCAATAAAAAGTTAATTTAAAAAAACAGGGTAAAACTTATATGCAGACATTTATAATAAAAGTTTATATCAAGTGTGTAATCCTTAAAACCCTCCTGTGTATGCAGATGTTTTCTGAACCTAAATTAGAGAGTTCTTGTTAATTCTTTTGAAGTTTCATCATTCATTTAAGGTTATCTCTTGAATTTAGTAAGACCTTTTAAAATCTTATATTGCCATTTAACAGATCAGCTAGCTCATCAGTGTTGTCAATCACAATTAAATCATGTCTTCTACAACTAGACAACTGAGAATGTGGTCAAGCAGGCTAGGATCAAGCACAGTTCCTTTGGAAATCTCTCTTCAGCTAATAATCTAACTTAATTTTTGAGATGAAATCGAAATGTCACTTTTCTGGCTTTTTCTCTGTGAAGTTGCTCAAAAGAACAAGGTGCTTCATATAAAGAGAAGCTTCTGTCAAAGATGTGATCCAGACTCCATTAAAACATTTTTTTTTCTGCTTATTGTTTATTCTAAGCTGACTTTTAAAAGTCAGCTAACCAGCAACCCTCAGTACACCTGCAGGTTCCTACCATCAGCACACTTCCTCCTAGCCAGCTTCCAGGAAGAACGTTTACTCAGGCCGACTCTGGACATAGCCATAGAACAGGTTATTAAATGACTCAAAGGTTTAGAAGTCTTGCCACTGTCTTATGTCTGTTAAAGCATGATTTTGCAAATGTCAAACAATCAGAATTTTCTGCATCTTTTATATTTAAGCTCTGCAGTACTTTGGTACTAAGGTGCTGCCCAGTCCTGGACCATTTTCCTTCAGTGATGGTGGTGGTGGTGTGCCACTAAATTGGTTTCGATTCACAGAGACCCTGTGTAGGGTTTCTGAGGCTGTAAAGTTTTTTTTTGTTGTTGTTGTTTGTTTTTTTTCATGCTTTATTGTGAATTATATAATAGTTTACATGGGAGAACATTAGTTTTACATTCATGGCTGTGAATTTTTCCAGGAGCAGAAAGCTCATCTTTCTTCCATGGAGCAGCTGGTGGATTTGAACTACTGACCTTGCAGTTAGCATGCCAACGCATAAACCATATTACCACTGGCATTCCTTTTACCTCTAGTAAACTCTTTAACAAGGAGCTGTTGTAGCATGGTGGTTACGAATCGGGCTGCGAACCACAAGGTCAGCAGTTCAAAACTACCAGCTGCTCCATGGGAGAAAGATGAGGCTTTCTGCTCCCGTAAAGATTTATAGCCTTGGAAACCCTGTGCAGGGTCACTATGGGTCGGAACCGATTCAATGATACTTAACAACAATAACAAACTCTTTAACAGAAGCTCCAGTTTGCTCTTTGACAGTACACTGATAGGAGACAGTACATTATTTCGAAGACTTTGAAATTTCCAGGAACCTGAATGTGGGTTTTGCTTAGAATTTTAAAGAAAAATATTTTTATTGAAGAATAGCAAAATGCTTATGGTTAACAAAGCTTAAAGATGGGAACAGGAAGGTTATTGTACTGTTCTTTCAACTTTTGTTTTTCTGGAATTTTCAAGACAACTTCAAAATTAATTTAAAAAAAAATCAACTTCTATTTTAAGTTCCCACATTTCAAGAGATACCATATGAACAAAAGCCAATGATACTCAGAGAGGAAGTCCAAAGTGCATTGAAAGAA